CACACAACCCAAGATTACAGTATGGATCTCTTTGACTTAGAAGCCTGTACTCTTTTTTTTGAGACAGGAGCCTCAAGCTGTCCCCCTGGGTAGAGTGCCATGGCATTTCAGCTCACAGCAACCTCCAACTCCTGGGCTCAAGCGAGTCTCCTGCCTCCGCCTCCCAAGTAGCTGGGACCACGGGTTCCCGCCACAATGCCCGGCAATTTTTTGGTTCCAGCCGTCATTGTTATTTTGGCGGGCCAGGGCTGGATTCGAACCTGCCACCTTGGGTGTACGTGGCTGGCGCCTTAGCCACTTGAGCCACAGGCACTGAGCCAGAAGCCTGTACTCTTAACCTCTAACTAATATGAGTGAGAAAGTGACTAATATGTCCTAAAGACAGTGACAGGTGGAATGCTAGAAATCTCAGGGTGGGGAGAGATGAAAGCCACAAAGAGAGGCAATGGATTCAGGAAGGCCTCTAGGAGAAGGGGGGCATTTGAGGACAGGATTGGCTATATCATGTTGGCCTTGGTGTCTCTGGATATTTCAGGTATGTGCCCAGCCTCGGTTCCCTCTGGGCTAGGAAGCCTCAGAAAAGGGAAGGACTCCTTCACTTCTGTTGTAAGCTATCTCTTGGCTCCTTTCTTTTTCATTTTTTAAAAACTGTTGTCTCAGTAAAGCAATTTATTACTGTTTTTACATGATAACCCATTTCTAATGGACTTTAGGACTAAGACACTATCACAGATGTGAAAAGGAAAAAACACATGGAAGTGAGTTATTTTTCTTGAGAGAATCTCATTCTGTTGCTGGAGTTATAGTGTTATGGTATCATCACAGTTTACTGCAACCTCAAACTCCTGGGCTTAAGTGATCCTCCTGCCTCAGCCTCCCCAGTAGCTGGGACTATAGGTGCAAGCCATAATACCTTGCTAGTTTTTCTATTTTTGTGTGTAGATATCACACTTTCCCAGGGCTAATATTCAACACCTGACCTCAAGCAATCCTCCTACCTCAGCCTCTGAAAGTACCAGGATTATAAGCTGTGAGCTGCCACTGCTAGCCTTTAATGATTATGTTAAAATGATGTACTCCTTCACACATTTTTTAGTTGACAGCTGACATTTTTCATCAGCAGTTGAAATAGTCCCAAAGATAATTTCCAGCACATTGTAAATTTATACACTTAAACATAAAAGTTACATCACTCTTTTAAATGTAACCAGTTGAATTAAATGCCTTGGCAATTTGATACTTGCAGTCATCTATTTAAAAAATACATGAACAGGCTCCACACTCATTTCACAGTGGTTATGGTGCCAGCCACATACACTGAAGCTGGCAAGTTCGAACCTGGCCTGGGCCAGGTAAACAGCAATGACAACTGCAACAAAAAAATAGCCAGGTGGCTGAGGCAAGAGAATCGCTTAAGCTCAAGAGTTTGAGGTTGCTACAAGCTGTGATGCCATAGCACTCTACTGAGGGTGACATAGTGAGACTCTGTCTCAAAAAAAATAAAATAAAATAAAATAAAACATGAACAGAAGTGTGTCTAAGAGTCAGAAATTTTACATGATTTCTTTGGCTTGTTTGAACTCAAATTTCCCCTCTGTTCCACCAGAAAATTTTATCATCATATATATATTTTTTTTTCGGAGACAGAATCTCATTATGTTACCCTCGGTAGAGTGCTGTGGCATCACAGCTCATAGCAACCTCAAACTCTTGGGTTTAAGCAATTCTCTTGCCTCAGCCTCCCAAATAGCTGGAACTATAGGTGCCCGTCACAACACCCAGCTATTTTTTTGTTGCAGTTCTCATTGTTTAGCAGGCCCTGGTAAATTCAAGCCTGCCAGCCTCTGTGCATGTGGCTGGCACCCTTACCACTGAGCTACGGGCACCAAACCTCATATATTTTTTATGCTTAAGAGGCTTTTTGATGACTCTCATATTTCTCTGCTGAAAATATAAATGTAAATTTTATTTTACTTTCTACATAAGTCTAGGTATCACAATTTTTCTATCATTACAATTATTTTAGAATGCAATGGATAAAAACATGTCAATATATTACAGTGTTTTTAAGTCCTACAATAGGCCGGCACGGTGGCTCATGCCTGCAGTCCCTACCTACCACTCTGGGAGGCCAAGGTGGGTGGATTGCTTGAGCTTAGGAGTTCGAGACCAACCTGAACAAAAGTGAGACCCCCGACCCCCATCTATACTAAAAATAGAAAAACTGAGGCAAGAGGATCACTTGATCCCAAAGAGATGGAGGTTGCTGTGAGCTATAAATGGCACAGCGTTCTACCTAGGGCAGCAGCTTGAGACCATGTCTCAAAAACAAAAAAATATATAAAAAAATAAAGTCCTACAACAATTTAAAAAGCTTTATTGAGGTAGAACTAGCATAAATTAAACTGCACATATCTAAAGTATACAATTGGACATAAGTGGGCGGCACCTGTGGCTCAGTGAGTAGGGCGCCGGTCCCATATACCGACAGTGGCAGGTTCAAACCTGGCCCCGGCCAAAATGCAACAAAAAAATAGCCGGGCGTTGTGGCAGGTGTCTGTGGTCCCAGCTACTTAGGAGGCTGAGGTAAGAGAATCGCCTAAGCCCAAGAGCTGGAGGTTGCTGTGAGCTGTGATGACACAGCACTCTACCCAGGGCGACAAAGTGAGACTCTGTCTCTTAAAAAAAAAAAATGGATATAAGTATACACTCAGGAAACCAGTCCTACAAACTTTGATAAATAATTACTAAACAGGAAAAGCAAAGTTGTCTTGGAAATGCCTGTCTTAATGAGGTAAGGCGGGGCAATTTTTCCTCTCCATTTAGTTTGCTTAAACCTGGATGAATATTGCTTATACTAGAATGAAATAAATTTTAGCAACAATTTTATTCCCATTTTTCATTTGTTATAGTTGTCAAGCAGTGGTGTGCTAAAGCCACCTTGTACTGGTTCATGAAAGTCAGTTTTTAGGAATTCAGTGAGCTTGTTGTCCAACATAACTCTTACTGCAAAGTAAATGACATAAACTTACAAGTGAATCGACTATATTAAAAGTAAAGGAAATAAGCACTCGTCATTTCTCAATTATCTCACTATACTTTACTACTAGTGTTGTGAGATATTTACATCTATTATGTCTGTACGATGGAAACACTGTTCATCTCTTCCCAACTCCTTACTCAGTGACATCTCCAGTCAGCCGTGGGGGGAATGTTCACAGGACAGAAATTGTCAAATGGTATAAATTAGCACTCTCTGCTTCCCTTAGCCTATTGTCAAACATTTACCAGCACAAACGTAAGCTCTGAGAGAGCTTCTTCAAAGATGTTGATAAGAACTGAAGGAATTTTGTTATAGCAGTGATGACAGATACTAAAATCACATCATGATCTATAATCAAAAATTATTTTTAGGTGGTGCCTGTAGCTCAGTGTTTAGGGCACCGGCCACATACACCAACGCTGGCAGGTTCAAACACAGCCAGCTAAAACAATGACAACAGCAAAAAAAAAAAAAGAAAACAGCTGGGCATTGTGGTGGGTGCCTGTGGTTTGAGGTTGCTGTGAGCTTTGACACCATGGCACTGTAACCAGTGTGACAGCTTGAGACTCTGTCTCAAAAAAAAAAAAATTACTTTTAATGATCTATCCAGTGACAATGAGATTAGGCCCTCCTTCTTTTCTGTGGAAAGCAAAAGATTACAAACCATTTGACTTGCAAAAGGATTTTTCATTCCGGCATGAAATTCATTCATTGTTTTTTTCAGTTTCTTTCCAAATCCCATTAAGAATAGCTGAATAAAACTGCTAACCTTTAAATCTGTGGGGAAAAAATCATGGTCAGCAGTTGAAGACTTTTATTCTTTGATAATACTTAAGTGATGGAAGAAGGGGAAATCACTTCATCACTCCACCCCGCAAAGTACACGAAATAACATGCCGACAGAGGCCAAAATTACCCTAATTCTAAAGCCATGTTACATTCTTAAAAAGATTTACATAGAAGTCAGGCAGAGACAGGGAGGGGTAGGCACCTTTTGTACTTTGATCCTCATAAGATGTTACCCCCAATAATTCCAGCAGTTTCATGCGCTTGTGACTCCCCCAGAATTTTACCATCTTTCTCCAATGTTAGGAGGATGAGAAGTAAGGGGGACGCACATAACTTTATTTTATAAAGGGCTGAAGCTGACCTGAGAATGGAAATAAGCTTGTAGATCAGTTTTCAGAGAGATCAAACTTTTTAGAAAGTTCAAAATCTGAAAAATGAACACCTTAAAACAGAGATCAGTTACCCTGAGACCGAACTTGCCTGCTCATGGCCTATTTTTGTTCAGCCCACTGTTAATAACGATTTTTACATTTTTAAATGGTTGGAAAAAAAGTCAAAAGAATATTTTGTGACACATGAAAATCATGTTCAATTTAAATTTCAACGTCCACAAATAGGACACAGCCACGCTCATTCCTAGTATTCAGGCTGCTTTTGAGTTAGGACACTCCAGTTTGAATAGTGGTGACAGATTGTGGGGCCGGCAAAGCCTAACCAAGCTGAAAATATTTAGCCCTTTACAGAAAAGTTTGCTGACCTCTGTCCTAACGCTAACCGCGTTCACGTCATTCACAAAGTCTTCCGCGCTCTCTGAGGGGAGGGCACCCAGTTTGAAGGTTGTGACCCTGGTCACTTCCTTCCCGTCCCTGGGCCTCAGTTTCTCCAACTATAAAATGGAGTTAGACGCTGTGATCTCTGCAGGCCTCCCTAGCAGTGGCCAAATAAATCAAGGAGGTTGGAGCTCCGGGAGGATAAGTTGAGAGGTTGACCCAGAGCTGGCCCGAGCGCGCGGGGCGGGTCCCTCGGGGTTTCCAGCTCCGCGGGCGGGCGCAGCGCCCCGCAGGCCCAGATTTCGAGGGGGAATTCCGGGCGGGGTGCGGGCAGCAGGGCGGGCCGGGGCGGAGTCGACTGCCTATAAAATGGGCCGCGCGCCCGCCCAGGGCCACTCGCCACTGCCAGCGCGCCCTCTCCGGACCGCGGTGCTATGGCCCCCGCCCGCCTGCTCGCGCTGCTCCTGCTTTTCGTAGGCGCCCCCGCTGCCACCGAGTCGGTAGGTGCTTGGAGGTCCCCAAGTAGGGGAGGGAGACAGACTGGTGCCTCCTTTGTTCCCGGGAGCCTAGGATCCGTAGTGGAGGGGCAGCTGTTCAAGGGGGTTGCGCCGCCCCCAACTGGCCGCCGAGGCCGGGGAAACTTTGTTGGGAACTTTGCTCCGGGGTCACAGGGAACCTCCCAGGCGGCTCCTCCGAGCGCCGCGCACCCCCTGCCTGTTGCTCTTCCCGCCTCCCTTGGGCTCAGCCCTGCCGCGGGCTCTGGCTCGGACGTGACTAAGCCGGTGTCAACGCTTCAACCCCCAACGCCCTCGTGCCTTCCTAGGTCGCAGCGCTGGATCCCGCTCCTCGCCCTCTGGGCGTCCTGGGCGGGCAGCCGTAGAATCCGTGATGGCCAGGGCGTGGGGGCTGCGAGTACTCGGAAGGGGAGGGGTTTGGGGCGTGAGGGGCTCTGGCGCGGGGTCAGTGGAGATCTGAGCCCTGACCGCAGTTCTGGCCCCAGCCCTGCCAGTGACTTGTGACTTAGGGCAAGCTCCTGCCCCTTCTGAGTTTCTTTGCTCATTTCCACAAAGGTTATGGGGGAGGGGGCCGGAGGTGACTGCTGCTTATTTGGGGTTCCTAGAAATCTGGGGACTCTGATCTTTCAAGGGCAGAGGGGAGGGATGGTTTAAACTCAGCCCTTGGCCAGGAGTTGAGCCTCTGCTTCCTGTAAGAAGAGTGTTCATTTTTGCCCAACTTCAGGTGGGAAAATGGAAGTGTTCACCTTGAATAGGGTGAAGAGGGCTGGGGGAGGGAGGGCCTCAGTGAGCCCAGAGAAACTTTTCCTTTCCATTGTCCACTGGTTCTTGCCACAGTTTCCACGGCCCTTGGCCAGCAGAAGTTCCATCCTGCCTAGCACCAGGCAACCATCTGGGAAATTGGGGGCATGGGAATTACTGGGAAAGGCAGTCTCCATCCCAACCCTCCAGCCTGGGCTTTGTGTCCTTTGGCCCCAGTTTTTAGGGGAAGTGAGTCCCTGGAGTTTAATCATTAATGTAAATTTCTTTGACCGTCCTGGCGCTCCTATTCCTCTGAATTTAGGGGAAAGTTGGTTTGGGCTGGCCCACTCATTCCTACTGAGGAATGAATGAGGCCCTGCGTAATACCACCAGGCACAATTTCAGGTGTGCAGTGATGTTTAGCAAACATTTAGCATTTTGGTGTGTCTGATACGGTTCTAAGAGGTTTCTAAAGGCTCTGCCAACTATCTATTCAGCCAGCAATCCTGCTGTTTACTGTTCTTAAACTGGTTCTGAGGCTAGAAACATTAACTTGCCCAAGGTGACACTGCTAGTAAGGGGCTGAGTCAGATCCAAATTTAGGCAGCCGTGTTTCCAAATTTCTACTTTATCTTTACTTACAGCTGCTTTTGTGTTTCTTCTTGAGTAACTCAAGACTGGTTTAGAATCTGCTGAGATTTTAGGCTGTAAGGCCTCAAGGAATAATGAGGTGGGCAGAAACAGAAGCCCTAAGGGAGGTGATGACATTCCCAAACTAAGGGCAACTATCTATGCCTAAAGGTTAGTGGCTGAGCAGGACTAGAACCAAAGCCCTCTGGTTCAGTGCTCTAAATGAGGCCCTGAAGGATATGATGGGGTCAAGTGGCTGGAGAGGCCTCTGAAGGAACACTGCCTGGACAGTGTGGGGAAAAAGAGGAAAGTACACAGGAGGTTGCTGCAGTCACCGCATGGATAGTCACATGCCAGTCTCATTTCAGGGCTGCTGAGCCTGCCGGTGCAGTCAAGGTGAGAAGCTGACAGCTGTGTCTTAGGGACAGTCAGAAGGATGTGGTTTGGGGAGTGGGTTGTATCAGTCCTGAGTAGGCCAACCCATCAGCTGGGGGAGATGTCAGCTCTGGGCAGCTGCTTCCTGAGAAAGGTCTCATCCTGACCTCAGCTCTTCCCTTCCTGACTAATGTCACAGACCTCCTGCCTCTAATTGGGGCACAAGGCTTCCCCTTTTACTCCCCCCTGCCCTGCCCCTGCCAAGGTTGTGGCTGGAAAAATCAGGCCTAGCCACAATTGGCTTAGACCAGGCGTCCTCAAACTAAGGCCCGCAGGCCACATGCGGCCTGCCTAGGACATTTATCCCACTGGGTGTTTTTGCTGCTGCTGCCTGTCCTGCTTAGCAGCTGACTCGTCCCGGGGCCCACAGTCCGGCCTTCCAACAGTCTGCGGGACAGTGAACTGGCCCTCTGTTTAAAAAGTTTGAGGACCCCTGGAGGACCAAGGAAGCGATCTGCTCTATCCTTTTCATTTGGCAGGTAGAGAAAAATGAGGCCAAGGGAGAAGGGCTTTGCTGATAGCAGTTATGATTTATACATGCCCAGTACTTTCCAGATGCCGGGATGGCACATTTTATCCTCACAGAGTCTTAGCACGTGAGGATTATAATATGCCCATTTTCCAGGTGAAAGAGGCAAAGTGGTACTACTTTGAGGTAACTGAGAGAGCATCCAGGCCATCAGCATCTCTGAATAGTGGCTCTCCCCTTGTGTGGTGCTGTAGATTTGGGGAAGGGAACCTAAGCTGAGTACCCAGCTGCCCTCTCCTCCGTTTGGCGGGATTTGCCATCCTAAACCAGTTCTTCCTGTCCAGCTGGAGCATTCCCTGATCTGCCTTCCTGCCACTCCCTCTCTGGCCAATTAAAGGTAGCCTTGTTCTGGGACCCTCCCTCCCCCTAAAGGTATTGCTGCCCTAGGGTACAGCCCACTGACTTGGCACCAGGCCCAGGCAGTTCTGGGGAAGTGTCCCCCACCCATCCAATCTTCAACTTAAAGATATTTCTGGTCTTCTTGAGAATTTTCTTGATTGCACTGAAGAGGGGTGGAGGCGGAAGGCCAGGGGGTTCTAGGACCCTTGGGTGACCAGTGAGAGCTCTTGAGACATCTCAGAGGGAAGAGAGTTACCAAACACCTGGGAAAATATTTGGGCCACATTTTGGAGGGCTCTGTGAGGTTGAGAGAAGTCCCTTTCCCTCCCTGGGATGATATTCTCCATCTGTAAAGTGAGGGGGGGGATGAGAAGAATGGCCTCCAGAGTCTTTTCCAGCTCTTAATTTGATTAATAATTAAGTGTCTACTATTCAGAAGGGGCTGCGGGAACCATAAAGACATCTTAAGCATTCTCTCCCTTGAAGAAACTTACCGTTTCTGGGCGGAGCCTGTGGCTCAAGGAGTAGGGGGCCAGCCCCATATGTGTGCAGCCACAAAACTGCAAAAAAGAAAAAAAACTTACCGTTCCTGGGAGAATTAACTCCACCGCATTCCAAGTCCCATTTCCCTCATTCCCTTCTACCTGGACACACCTGGGGCAGGAACTCTGCTCTATTGGTTATAGTGAAATACCTGTCCTCTAGTGAACACTCAGGAAATATTTGTATGAATAAGTTCATGCATGTAGCTTTGTTCTAAATGGTGCATTAAAGTTACCTATTACTAGAATGAGTGTCTCTCAGTGATGCTGTGAGCTGGGTACTATTATCGCTATTTTTACAGGAAACTAATGTTCAGAGGATGTTGTGGCTTATCAAGGTCAGAATCAGATCTGAGTGATCGGGCAAGTTCTCTGATTTGAGCGTCCTTAGAGAATATCTCAGATAAGGAATTCTGCTGGATTTGAAAGTAGGTATCTAGGGTCCTATTAATGCATTGCTGGGTGACCTTGAGCAAATGCTTCTTGTCTCTGGGTCTGTGTCCCTAACTCTCAAATGAGAAGGTTGGAACATTGCCTTGTAAGGGTCCTTCCTGCTCTAAGAGCCCATTGATGAGAGGAGGGGACCTTTCTTGGCCTCCTTGGTAAAGAGTCTAAATAAGTACCAGTGTCAGAAGAGAAGTAGGGGGTGGGGTCGGGGACATTCAGCTCCTGCCATCCCCAGCTCCTAGAAACAGAGAGCTTTTCCAAGGACTTGGAGTGCTGAGAAGGCCTGAATGGGGAGCTGGGTGAGCCAGGCTGGGCTCCCAGCCCCAGTGCCCTGTTGAGAGGAATTGGACCCTAGCTGTCTTTTAGCTCCTGGACTGGATGAGTGGGTGTGCCTTCCAAATTGGGGGAGGGGGCTGGATGGGGCTTTGAGTCACTGCAGGCAAGTGTAACCTGCCTGAGTCACCCATTTCCTTTCTACCTCTTGGCTAATAGGTCAGATAGCTTTGTGGTGGGGGAGACAGTGTCTTAGTGTTCAGGGCTTCGAGGGGACATACAGGAAATATTTGTACTAGGCCTCTAACCTTCACAGCCCCTTGCCTGCAGGTGGATGTTGACATTGCACAGAGTGCAGCCAGTCCTCAAAATTGGCCTTCAGACCTCTGCTGAGCAGGGAGGACTCCCTGTCCCCCTTAAGCAGAACTGAAGCTGCATGTGGCCTGAAGTTCAGATGTGATTTGACCCCAAGATTCTCTGATGTCTGATACCGCCTCTTTGCTTCATGGGGCTGGATGAAGGGCCTTGAGATATTGGTTTGGTATTAGGCAGACCTAATTCCAGAGGTGTTAAGTCCACTTACTAGCTACATGACCTTGGACATGCTACTGTACCTCTCTGAGCCCCAGCTTTTGGGGCTGTTAAGAAGATGGTGACTACTGAGGGGTGCCTGTGGCTCAGTGAGTAGGGCGGCGGGTTCAAACCCAGCCCTGGCCAAAACTGCAACAACAACAACAAAAAAGAAGATGGTGACTATTGTGGCAAGGCTTAGGGAGATGACCAGGCTGCAAATAAAGGTACCTAGTATCACTTGTGGTAGGGGAGGTGTTAGTTACAATTCTCTTCCTTACCCAGGCTACCTTGATTCCAGGTGGTCCTTTGAGAATTCCATGCTCAGGGCCCCTCCCCCATAGCTAACCCCACAGCTGGGAGGTGAAAAGGGAGGAGTCTAGGGTGGGGCTGGTGGAGGCCAAATCTCCTATTTATTTATCTTAGAAGTGGGCTGTTTGCTAATTATCTGATGGGTTTATATTTAAACTAGAACCAGT